AATTACTATTATAATAAGGAAAACCTAACTAAAAGCTTCAAATCCTTCTATCTTGCACTTTTGATTTTTTATTTTATGACGTTCTTCCATCAAATCAACCATATGTTTGTCCAAACCAAAAAATAATTGTTTATTTGTAGCGCGCTCATGAAAAACGTTGTCACTGATCGGTCAATTGGCTGTTTAGTGCATCTTCATATGTACATATGTAGTATATGTAGGTGTATGGCATGTCCTAGAACATTCAATCCCGAGGCATTTTAAAAATCCGGGATTTCGGGATGCGAAAAATGTTATTCCTGGGATTTATAGTAATAATAATAATAATAGATTGGCGCTTACACATATGTTAGTGTTTGGCCGAGCTTCTCCTCCGACTTGTGGCGTGCGCCTTGATGTTGCCACACAAAGAGGAGGGACCTACAGTTTTACGCCGACTCCGTACGGCGATTGTATTTTTATGAGAAGCTGTTTTTCATGGCAGAAATACATTCGGAGGTTTATCATTGCCTGCCGAGGGACGACCGCTGTTAAGAAAAAAACCTTTTTTCTATATTTTTTGCGATGTTGCTTTGACCAGGGCTTGAACCCAGGTGCTGATGAGTGAAAGCGCGCACTACTTACCACTACACCACTGCGGCCGACGACAATAAAAAAATGCTAACGAATACTTTTATTTCATAAAACAACAATTTCGATAAAGAAAAAATAAAGCTTAATGAGAGATCGTTTATGTATATTTCAGAAATGTGTTTAAATTGGGGCTGTGCGATTAATTGATTATTTAAAATTTTAATTAATCATAAAGTAAATAACTCAGTTATTATTATTAAAATTTTAATTAATCATAAAGTAAATAACTCAATTGTTCGATTAATTGGAAATTATGATTACTCAAAAGTTCAATTACTCGAGTAACCAAGATTTTGATTAAACAAAAACAAAAATATATGAGTAATTTGATTTATGATTAATCAACATTATGAGTAAAATAAGTAATCAACATTTCAAAGTACTGTTTACATATGAAGCAGTTGAAGTTCCTTGATACTTTGAAAACAACGTTTCTGTTTTCAAACATAATTTTTTCATGTACAGAATGTGAAAAAAAGAAAATAAACATTTTCCAAAGCAAACTCATTTAACGAGCAAAAGTAGTTTTTTTGAGTAGTCATACATATATCAAGTAACTCGATTAATCATCGTTTTGAGTAATCAAAATCTTAATTAATCGAGTAATTGATTAACCGGAAAACTGATTAACCACCTTGGTCGAGTAATCGAATAATTGCACATCCCTAGTTTAAATATTATTTCCTATTTCTTAAAAATATTTTCATTCAATAAATTACATAAAAATATAAATAATACTTCGTCAAAGACTACAATTCGCGGATGGTGTCGTTTACATTATTTTGGTGGTTAGGGCTGGAAATATTCGTGCTATTTCAATTCTTAAGTTAGAATTTCAGAAAAATTAGAGCACCTAGTGTATTGTTAGCGAGACTAGACCGTATTTTGTTGCATAAGTAACCAAGAAAAAAATATTTCTGACTACAAAAAACCACGCCACCAAAATGAAGTAAAAGTTTTACTTTCGTTTTCAAGTGCTACCAGATTTCTCGTTTTTACACAGTTAAAATGCTTTAAGTGCAGTTATTCACAGGTTCTGAAATTAGCTCCCGTGTGCAAATGACTGGTCTTAGCTTTTCATGTCAAATGCAATTGAATAAATTTTTTTTAGTTTCACGCAAATAAATCAGTAAAAATCTGCGGATCTCGGAAGTGTCCGGGATCCTGGGATTGAATGCCATAGTATGTACATATTTATGTATATGTATTTTGTTTCCATGGACGCTGACAATGTCGCCGGTCGTTGTGGAATTGGCACCCAGACAATGCTTCAGTCGAGAAGCGAAAGTAATCGAGGGTGTGTCGCGCAGCAGAGAATTTTAGTTAAGCAAACGGAAAGCGCTCTTTGCTTGTTGGAAAAGCAAGAAGATGCCGATTTTCTCGAATAATGCTCTGCTAAGAGGTGTGCGGTGTAGTATACATACATATGTACATACATACATATTTATTATATTATGTGATTTTTATATTTCACAAAAGTTTTGAGGGTTTGCGTATTAACATTCAAATAACCAAAAGTATTACGTTGGATCGCGTAAGAAAAAAATAAAAATAAAAAATAAATAAATACTCATCAAAAATCTCATTGGAGCAATCGAAGTGAGAAGAAGTAGTTCGAGTTAATTGATTTTCGGGATCGTTAACTAAAAAATTCATGTGTGAATTTAAAACTCAGCATTGGCTTCCCGTGCAGTTAAGATATGAGTACAATTAGGCCTTTGTTTATGCGGTCTATGCGTTCCTCAGAAAGCCGCATAAAAAAGTTTTTTACTTTCATACCAAAGCAGAGGATGCGTTCCAGCATTTTCAAAAACCGCATAAATTCAGATACTCCATGTGAAAAATTCCAAAAAACCGCATAAAAAATCTGGTTGGGCAATATTAAGCAAAGCTTGACAATTTATTTCTTCACTTCAACACGTATTGATTCACGTAAAACTGCAGCGAAAAAAGTGTTTGAAAAACCGCATAAAAAAAGACCTAAGCGTTTGTGGTTTTTGTCATCCAGTGATTTCGATCTGACCTAATGTGTGTGATGATTTAATAACTATGCGCATGTGGATGTGAAAAACGATCTAATGGATACATCGTTTTTGATGTATGAATTAAAATCGTGAGAGAAAAGTATATACTATATATACATACATATGTACATAAGTATGCATGTAAGCAGTTGCAACATTCTCGAATTCTATTTTCATATATGGCTGCAAAGAAACCAAAAAAATTAAACAAATAAATGTCTTCCAACAAAGACCAGTTGCCAGCAAAAAAAAACATGCAACATGCAAAGCAAACATTTAAATAAGTTCAATTTTCCTGCAATTGTTCTTTATTAATGCTTCAATTAATGCTTCGCAGGCGCCGATAACGTTCTCCGTCAGAGTCATCGTCTCTTCACTTCATCCAATATCGTCACTTCAGCCTCACGCCCGGCACTCACTCAATTTCGTGATATTCTGAATACACAAATTACTAATATTAAAGATGCAGGCACTTATAAAATGGAACGTATTATCACCTCCTCACAGAGCACCGAAATCACCGTTGAAGGGACCCATAAGCGCATTTTGAATTTTTGCGCCAACAATTATCTCGGTTTGGCGGTATGTATGAATATAAAAAACTTAATTGATAACTAAGCAGCGCATTTTTCTTCAACAAAATAAAAAAATAGTAGTCACGTGCTTCACAATTTTTCATATTTTCTACACAATTCAATATTTTTAGTTAATACACTTTCGAAGAACACATGAGACATGATAAATAGCTGCGTATATTACTTAGTAGCGTTCGCAAAAAAAAAACAATTTTTAATCAAAAAAAGTTTTTCGTTACTTTTTGTTAATAAACAATTAAATATAACAAGCGAAATTAAATCACTAAATCTATTAAAATAAGTGTAAGTTTCAAGTAGCTATGACATACCATATGCGGATTCAAGAAACCAAACGGGACCTACACTGACACTCGTAAGATACAAGTACAAATGCTACTGTTAGAAACCCACTTCCAAATTTGTATTCTTCCATACCCAATCCCTATCATTATTTCCACTTTTAGTGCGTACTAGTGGTGGCAAACCATCGATGAAATTGTCTGTAGTATCGATGGTGCATCATTATCGCAATTACCGATAGTTCTGACTATCGACATTACAGACTATCGACGATATTTCTTATCTATGTTGATTTTTGGCAATTTTTTTATTTGGAAAAAAGTGCGTAATAAATATGTACATTCAAAAGTAAAAAAAAGTATCAAAAATCAACGGGATTTTTTAGTAACTTCAAACTTGCACTAAAATTTAATGGGCTATAACCCGGGCCGTAGCCAGTATTTTTTTTGCGGGGGGGGGGTTGCGGTTCTGGCAAAATTTTTTTAATTTTTTAAAAGGAAAATACTGATAAAAATACAATTTTCATAAAAGCAGGGTTGGAATCTTGAAATTCCTGCCCGTAGTTTGTTTGTAAGTCAAATATGAGTGGCATTGTGCTACTATGATAGCACGGCCGAGTAATCATAGCCAACTTATGTACAGTAGTCGAAAAAATTATATCCGCACCAAATTTTCGCAAGTTTTAAAATATTATTTTTGTTGTTACTTAATTTCGGTTAGTTTATAGTTCGTTCTTTACCAACATCCGTATAAATACAAGTTTAAAGGCCACACGATTGGGTATTTGCTAAAATTTGGTGTAAATCGTATCCCAATTGTTTGAACACCACAATATTTTTCACTATCCCAATCACGAAAATTAATTTATTGAAATCTTTTGAATGCAAAAAAAAAATCCCACTTTTTTTACCAATAGCCCAATATAAAAATTTACAAATCTGTACAAATGTACCAATCGAGTGACACTGCCTTAAAAATTTATGCAATTAAAAAAAAAAATCTA